CCCTGTGCCAGAGCTGAGCACCTGAGAATCCCACCCTGGATTGTTTCCATTTGGGAAGCCGGAAGGCTGTTGTCTTGGGCACAACAGGAGCGGCGGGGGGGGATGAAGGGGAGGCCACGGCAGAAAGGGGGTGTAGACAGGTCCCCACGGCTCGGTCTGAAGGGCCTTGTGTGATGGCAGCAGGCCAGTTTGTCAGGCTCACATTGGACTATGTGATCATCTGTCACAAAGATCAACATCTTGCTACAACCTTACCCAGCCTCCTGGTGTTGGGTCAGACGCTGGCTCACAATTTTCACCCAACACTTTCAGCTCAGCCCCACCACATGCAAACACCCACACCCATTCAGAAACTCATAGGCGGGTGAGGGGCTGAGAAGGGAAAGTGCCTTTCCAATAACAACAGTGATGCTTCATCTCCCATGTCTGTGCCTCGAAGCATCCCAAAGCTCTTCACAGCTGCATGCTTCACCCCAGACCAGTGGTCCCCAACCTTTCGTGGCTGCCGGGCGTCCGGGGATGGGGCCACTCACGGGCCGGGTGTCTGGGGGTGGGGCCACGCATGCACCATGCGCCCGGGGGTGGGGTCCGTCCACGTGCCCTGAGTCCAGGGCCAGCTACGCGCATGTGCCGCGCGCCGGGGGCAGGACCAGCCCAGATGTTTCGGCAGGCGTACATAAATGCCCCGGCGGGCGCCATGGTGCCCACGGGCACCGCGTTGGGGACCACTGCCCCAGACTAAAGGCAGCTGTTTCTGGGGTGGAGTGCAGCAGTTGCTCTAATATTTGCTACAGTTTCTCTTTAACCAAGAAAACCCTAGTAGAGTGGAGCCCCCGCGGTTCTTCCTTCCCTGCAGCACAGAGATCAATGGCTGGTTCCTTCTCACCCCAGGTGACTGCTGCATTTCATCAGCAACAGGATCCCAGAACAGCCCTATAGTCACTGACGGGCCAGGCAGCATGTCAGCAGTAAGTGGCACAAGTTGTTCCAGCCCGTGCAGGGCCCTGCCTGGGCAGCGCACACAGCCAGGAGAGTGGCTGAGCTCGCTTTCCTGGAGGGCTGGGTGATTGTGGGTTGCCCCTCAGAGCTGTGCGTATAAACCCTGCAAACAGGCAGCACACAGGTCTGGCAGCCCGGGGGACACAGCCACAGAAGGGGCCAGATTGGGCAGGCACCCCTCTGAATGTGACACACCAACATGAAGTTCCCTGACTCCCTTCCCCCATGCGCTCACAGGTCTCCCCTTCCCTCTTCACCCACTCACTGTCCGTGGGCTGGGTGTCCCTAAGACCATCTCCAAATGCATGGGGGCTAGCCCCTCTACTCCTTTATGGACCCCCCAGTGCTATTCCCTCCTGCTCTGGGGCATAAACCAGCTGCTATCTGCCTGGTGCCAGCAAGGAAGAACCTTCCGTCATGGGCAGATTATTGTACCATTGTGGGGCAGCGCACCCCTTCTCCTGCAGCAGCCAGCTCTGGGGAGATGGTCCCATCTGGAAGGATACTGAGTGCCTAGCTGAGCTGCAAGGCCTACTTGCCCCTCTGCCTGTGTCTTGCTGGACCCTGCCGGCCTGGCAACGCCTGGCATTGTGTCATACCGGCTCAGGAGCAATCTGGTGCAGCAGGCCCATTGAGTAGCTGTGGGGCGCTCCGTGGAGATGCCCGTTCCACCCTGGGAGTCCTGCAGTCCCCTCACACCACAGTCCCGGGCCCAGCTGCCAGGGGAGGGGAGGGGAAAGGGAAGCCCTGGCTTGTTGCTACCCGCGCTCATGCCACCGCCTGCCGCTGCAGAAATGCTGGTTGCCGGGGACACAGTGCATCGCTAAGCACGACCACACCAAGCCCAAAGCCCACGAGCTGGCCTTCCGCAAGGGCGACATCGTCACCATCGTCGAGGTCTGCGAGGTGAGTCGGGCGGGCAGCCCAGTGCCCAGGGCCCCAGAGCCGGAAACAAGTCCAAAGGGCCGGGCCACAGGGCGCGCCCACTGCTCCAGCTGGGCGCCTGAAAACTGGGGGATGGGCTGATCCCAATGGCACACTGCTGCTTGCCCCCATTCTCCTGGCAATGGGGCATAAGTCCCTGGAGGGGGAGCTGTGCAGGGCAGGTACCACCTGTCCTTGGGTGTGTGAGCAGTGCCTGGCACGAGCAGGTAGGCTCAAAGAGTTGCTGTAATTCCTGCCATTGAGCCAGCAGACTCTACCTTGTCCTGCACCTCCCCCTGCCCAGCGTTCCCTCCAAGCTCCCTCCTCCCCCCACCAATCCCTTCCCACCTTGTCCCCCCCAACCCCAGCAGCAACGAGGCCCTGCCAGAGAGGGGAGGAGAGCTGGGAGGGCTAATGGAGTTGTCTCCAGATGTTTCTTCCCCTGGGGAGTCAGAGCCCTTCTCCCAAGTGCCAATGGCACCAAGATTGCTCCATGCTCCTCGCACCTCACACAGCCGGCCTGTGGAACTCCTTGCCCAAGGACCTTGTAACGGGCCAACACTATGGCAGGGCTCAGAAAAGAGCTAGATGGATTCATGGAGGTTGGGGCCATCATAAGAACATAAGAACGGCCGTACTGGGTCAGACCAAAGGTCCTTCTAGCCCCGTAGCCTGTCTGCCGACAGTGGCCAGCACCAGGTGCCCCAGAGAGGGTGGACCGAAGACAATGATTAAGCGATTTGTCTCCTGCCATCTCCCTCCAGCCTCTGACAAACAGAGGCCAGGGACCCCATTTTATCCCCTGGCTAACAGCCTTTTATGGACTAACCTCCATGAAATTATCTAGCTTCTCTTTAAACTCTATTATAGTCCCAGCCTTCACAGCCTCCTCTGGCAAGGAGTTCCACAGGTTGACTACACCCTGTGTGAAGAACTTTCTTTTATTCATTTTAAACCTGCTACCCATTAATTTCATTTGGTGTCCTCTAGTTCTTCTATTTAGGGAACTAATAAATAACTTTTCTTCATCGGCCCTCTCCACACCACTCATGATTTTATAGACCTCTATCATATCCCCCCTCAGTCTCCTTTTTTCTAAACTGAAAAGTCCCATCAATGGCTATTCACTAGGATGGGCAGGGCTGTGTCCCTCACCTCTGTTTGCCAGGTGCTGGAAATGGGCAACAGGGACCCCTTTCCTCTGAGCACCTGGCATTAGCTGCTGTCAGAGGACAGGTACTGGTCTAGAGGGACCTTTGGTCTGACCCAGTCTGGCCGTTCCTATGTCTCTCCTTCAGCAGAAAGGCTGGTACCGAGCAAAACACAACGACACCGGCGAGGAGGGGCTGCTCTCAGCCAGCTTGGTGCGGGAGCGTGGGGCCATCCGCGTGGACCCCAAACTCAGCCTGATGCCGTGAGTACAGCCAGGCCCCATGGGGCACGCTCGCGTTATGAAGGAGACCGTCCCCTTCCTGCTGTTGGCTGGGCTCAGCTGGTCACCGACTGCCACCCGAGTACCTGGGAGTTAACACCACGGGCCGTGCCATGGCTCCTGACAGGAGCCAGGGTCATTTTACAGCTCGGCCGGCTGATGCAGCTCAAATCTTAGGCATCAGGCCATGTGCTGGTCACTGCAGGGGCCAGGAAGGGGTTGTCCAGGTGCATTCTGGGTGCATTTTGCCTATCCCCTGAAGCATGAAGGATTGGCCCTCGCCTTGGGCTGGCGACACGCTTGGGTCTCCCCTGCAATGCCCCCCCGCCCCAGACTGGAGTGAGCAGGAGGGCTGGTCCTGCCCCAGCTCCTGCCAGGAAAGCTCTGCCTGGGCTCGTCTGTGCAGCGCGTTTCCTCTGAGGCGCCCTCCCTTCCTTGCCCCCAGCTGGTTCCATGGGAAGATCTCTGGGGTGGAGGCCGTGCAGGCCCTGCAGCCCCCTGAGGACGGGCTCTTCCTGGTGCGCGAGTCCATCCGGCACCCCGGGGACTACGTGCTGTGTGTCAGCTTCGGCAGGGAGGTCATCCACTACCGCGTCGTCTATCAGGAGAACCGGCTGAGCATCGACGCCTCCGTCAGCTTCTACAACCTCATCGACATGATCGAGGTCAGCAGGACGCCGGCCCGGGGCAGCAGGCACCCGCAGCTCCCTGGAGTCAGTAGCTCTGGGGCTCCATTGGGTAGAGAACAAAAGCATCGGGCCCCACAGCACCGGGGCGTCTGGGCGTAGCTCTGAATGGGAACCCAGACAGCCTCCCTCCCCATCTTCTCCCAGCTGCTGAGTGCTGCTGTCAGCCCAGAGTGAGCCATGCTCATGAAGTAGCAGCCAAAACCACAGGATCTAAATATAGAGTCGCTGCTCAAAACTGAAACCCGGTGGAAGGAAGTTGGGTCAGCTTTTTGTAACAGTCCTGCTCCGGCTTCTGAGTCACCTTCCACCCGGGGCAGCTCACACCCAAATTCAGAGACTAAGCACTGCCCTGGGGAGCAGGGATAGATTTTGATCCCCAGCCTAACAGAGAGGCAAACTGAGGCACAGAGAGTCCTGGCTGCCCAATGAATCAACCACAGAGCTGATGCAGGGGGTGGCAGCTGTGAGCCCGAGTGACTGTCAGTCTGTCCTGTCTGTCTGTCTGCAGCACTATATGCAGGACCAGGGAGCCATCTGTACCAAGCTGGGGAAGCCCAAGCCCAAGCCGGGGATGAAGTCTGCTGAGGAAGAGCTGGCCAAGGGTACGAGGGGTCTCTGCAAGCTCCAGGGACTGGGCCACTAGGACTTGGAGGCGGTAAAAGCCCCAGGGTCCAATTGCCCTGGCTGGGCTGGGCGGAGCTCACGGGTGTGACACTTGCACTGGGGGCGGGGGAGGAGGGGCAGCAGGCTGATAAGTGCTGGGCCCAGTGCAAGGGGGAAGACCCGGCCCTGCCCTGTGTAACCAGCTAGTCTCCTCCCACCTGCAGCTGGCTGGTTACTGAACCTGCAGCACCTCACGCTGGGAGACAAGATTGGGGAAGGGGAGTTTGGAGGTGAGTGCTTGGGGGGCGGGGGCCTGAGGGAGCACGAGACCCCACCCGCTCAGTGCACAGCTTGAGCTCTGGCCGGATGGGAAGCCTTGTTGGTTCGACCAGAGTGGGTATAGCCAGGCACACGCCTCTGCCCCATCACTGTGCCTGTGTGAGCCATGGTGGGGGCCCCTCCGCGCTTCCCTTCATCTCCTTGGGATGTGGCTGAGTGGCTCAGCTCTGGGGCCTTCCCTCCTTGGACCCTGCTGCTCTGGGGCCACCATATGGAGCCTGATCCCCCCTCTCGCCCCCCAGCCGTCCTGCAGGGAGAATACATGGGGCAGAAAGTGGCTGTGAAGAACATCAAGTGCGATGTCACCGCCCAGGCCTTTCTTGCTGAGACCGCCGCCATGACGTAAGTGAGCCTGGAGCGGAGCGCGCAGCCCCTCGCCTGCCCCTGGGCTCTGCAGGGAGGGGTTCTTGCAGGGCACAGGACAGACAGATATGCTGGCTGAGATGTCTTCCTTGGGCCCCTGGGGCTCAGCTAGTGAATTCCCGAGGGCTGGCCCGGCTCTTGCAGTGTGCTGCGAGAGGGATCGTGTGTTCGCATAATGAGCCTCGGCAACCGTCACTGGCAGCTCGCACTGGCCCTCATTTCCATATTAACGATTCGTTATTCGGGCTCCTTGTGGAGACACCTGAGGGCCTCCAGCCAGCCAGGGCGGCACCGTGCCAGGCCCTGGCCAAACACGCGGTGAGACAACCTGTTAGGCAAATGTAGCCTGGCAGGGAGGTGTGCCCTTCCAGCGGAGGCCAGCAGAGCGTGGGAACACGTGGCAGACCCTCCATCTCCTGCAGTCTTTAAATCGAGATTGGGGGTGTCTTCCGGGATGGCCCACGCTGTGGACTGGCCGCAGCAGGACGACGGGTGAAGCTCTGGGGCGTGTGCTCTGAGCAGACCCATCCCTGGGCGTGGAGGGTCAGACAAGCCCTCGCAGGAGCTCTGGTGGGGACCGCCGACAGGTGTGCGTGGTGGGGCAGGTAGCAGAATGGGGGGTCCTTGCAGATTAGCAGTGCGCATGCTGCAGGCCTGGGGGCGGTCAGTGGCCTGCAGCGGGTGGGAGGAGGGGAAGGGCTGACTGCTTTTCCCCCACGATTGGGAAGGCTTGTGGGGAGCTGGGCATCCCTGGCAGAGCACAGTCAGGCAAGCTCGCACTCCAGCACCGAGGACGGGGTAAATTGGGAAGGGCTCTGGTGGCTGAGCTAAGGCTTTCAGCTCCCCTCTGTGCCAGGTGGGGACCCTCCACAAGCGTTAGAAGCCCCCAACTCTTCCTGTGTGGCCTCTGCGGCAGAGCGACCAGGCCCTGTGAGAATCCAGCTCCTAGGGCTGGCCCAGTGGAGCCCTCCAGGGATTAGCAAGGTCCCATGCAGGGCAGTGGAGGGGAGATGAACTGGGCTGTTGCTTTTGACTTATCCCTAAATAGGAAGAGACATCTAGGAGGTTTCCAGGGCCCCCGTGTCCTCTGACTTAACAACTGGCTGTGGGTTCCCTTCAACAGCATCTCGAGCCTGAAAAACACCCACCCCACAAAGAAGTAAACGCAGTGAGCCTGGCATTGCAGCCCTAGCGTGCTGCAGAATTCCCCCTGCAGTGCGAAATACACTCAGCTTGTGCCTGTCTGTCTGTCCCCGGCCAGGGGTTAGCTCCATGTGTCTGTGTGTTTTCCCTGTGCCAGGAGCTGTGTGTGTGTGTGGGGGGGGGGTTCTCTGTGCCCCCTCTCTTGCAGCCAAGTGGCTGGGTGTGTGTGCGGGACCCTGGGTCCACCTCCCTCGCCTCAGTGTAAGTGCACACGCCCCATGCCCGCCCCATACAGGACACGGCCATTCCTTCCCTCCTCCAGGAAGGTCCGGCACAGAAACCTGGTGCAGCTGCTGGGTGTGATCCTGCACAACGGCCTCTATATCATCATGGAGTTCATGAGCAAGGTGAGAGCACTGGGCCCAATGCCCTGCTGCATCAGAGCGGACCAGGGACCCCGGCTGGTCCCCTGCCCCAGGGATGCTCTAAGCCGTTGGGGTGAAGGCCTGGCCTGCGCAGCCCTTCACAGCCAGGGGGCAGGTTCAGCCGTGGTGGGTCCCAGGGGGGTTCCTGCAGAGGGGTGGACCAGGCCATGCAGATGGTCCCTCAGCTTGTCCTGCAGGGAGGACTGCACGGCCGGGGCGGCACTCACCAGGCGCGGGGGCCCGGTGGCTCAGAGCCCGGGGCTGGCCGTGCAGAACCTTCCCCTGGGGCGAAAGTGAGCGGCCGCAGGCCCGGTGCCTGTGGGCTCTGATGGGCGTTTCTTCCTCCAATGGCAGGGGAACCTGGTCAACTTCCTGCGGACAAGGGGCAGATTGGCCCTGCAGGCCAAGCAGCTCATCCAGTTCTCTCTGTGAGTCCTGCGCTTCCCCCTGGGGCCGGGGCCCCGAAGAGGGGCTACTCCTGCCCTTGTCGTCCGGCCAGGCCTTGTCTGCTGCCCTCATCACAGGCGGCCCCTTTCCATTCCCTCCCCCCGGGAGCCGGCCAGCCATTCCCCCCCGGCACACAGGGCCACACCGTGAGGTAGTGGTGCAGCTGGAGCAGCCCTTGAGCTCTGCACAGACCCTGCAGGTTGCTGGGGGGGGGGGCTATGCTTGTATTTGGGCTCAAGCGATGCTGGCCTCAGGCAGGCTGCAGCAGAGCCACCCTGTCTAGTGAGGGCGAGCTGCGTGCCTGGGCCCGCAGGCAGCTGTGCGTGTGGCAGATTGGTGCTGATCCCTTCTGCCCCCTCCCTCCGCGCAGGGATATCGCCCAGGGGATGGACTATCTGGAGTCCAAGAAGCTGGTGCACAGAGATCTTGCTGCCCGCAACATCCTGATCTCAGAGGAGAACGTGGCCAAAGTGAGCGACTTTGGCTTGGTCAAGGTGGACTTGAAAGGCTCTGACGCCACCAAGCTACCAGTCAAGTGGACGGCGCCGGAAGCCCTGAAACACAATGTGAGTGGGGGGGGGAGAGGGAGGAGGAGGCAGATCCACGCGCACTGGCCCTGCCCTCCGCATGGGCCCTGCTCTTCGCAAGGTCGTGGCAAGCCCAGCTCATACTTATCACCAGGCTGTGATGCCCAAATCTTACCCAGGCACAGCAGTGCACTTGGGTGGGGCCCATCCAGTCAAACTGGCGCTTCCTGTCTGTGTATCCCCCCCAATGCCCCCCTGTGCACTGCAGCGCATTCAGGAGAACCCAGGCAGCTGTCCCGTCATGCGTGGCAATGCATCCTGGGATAGTCTAGTGCCCAGAGCAAGGAGGGACTAAGCCACTTCCAAGGGGACAGAGGAGCCAGTCTGGGCCTCTGATGGGGACACTTGCAGGGCTGCCATAGGGACTGTGGTGTGTGTACAAGCAACGCCCCATCTGGAGCCCCCTGTGTCACACCTTGGGACGGAGAAAATCTAGTGCCATCACAGACAGGGCCGAGGGGACTCCCTGCAAAGGGCCAGGCCCGTCCCCCATTGCATTACCTTGCCGCTGTCCCAGGAGCACCCCGAAATGGGGCAAGGCTGCTCTCCAGGTGGGACATTCTCCTGGCTGCCGCAGCACCAGCCCTGCACAGCTTTGTGGTTGAAGGCTGTGGCAGCACCTCGCTCGTGTTCCCTGCAGAAATTCTCCACCAAGTCAGACGTCTGGAGCTATGGGATCCTGCTCTGGGAAGTGTTCTCCTACGGCCGGGCGCCCTACTCCAAGATGGTGAGTGATCTGCCCAGGGGGCAGGGCTGGCTGGCTCCTGGGGTAAGGCCCAGACCAGATGCTGAGCCTGGACATGCTGTGGGCAGCAGCAGTAGTGGTCTCCTGGTGGGGAGACCGTGCGGACCGAGGTGGTGATGGGGTGGATCACTCTGCAGAAAGGCCCTTGGTGGACACAGAAAGGGAGCCAGGGACCTTACAGCAGGTCACTCTCCCCTCCCCCCAGACCCTGAAGGAAGTGACGGAGATGGTGGAGAAGGGGTACCGGATGGAGGCACCTGAGGAATGCCCGTCCTCCCTCTACACCCTGATGAAGAGCTGCTGGGAGCTAGAGCCAGGGAAGCGGCCTTCCTTCAAGAAGCTCATGGAGAAGCTGCAGAAGGAGCTGAAGCACTTAGGGAACAGTTAGCCGTGGTGGCTTCTGCTCCCGGCCAGGGGCTGGCAGGCTCCATGCAGCCTCTGCTGGGGCAGTGTTTCTAGACTGGGCACCGCACCTGGACGAGACACACCCCGGGCAGCACAGAGCAGTTCATGACTCACCGGCCGCCAGGGCTGGCCCCCTGCTCCGTGCTGCCTCGCCAGGCACTAACGGTGGGGATGGGGCCGTCTCCTCCGTCTGGCTACATGCAGTGAGGCAGCTGTGGGGCAGCGCTCCGAGGCCCTGCGCCTGCCGAGTGTTCCGAGGGGCCCTACCCTATGGCGCTGCCCCAGCACGACTCTGAGGTGCGCAGGCAGGGCTGCGGGAGAGCCCAAGTTCTGAACCATCCCTGGCAGTTCTGACGCGTTCAGCGTGAGTCTGCTCAGGCAGCCTCCTGGATCACAGGCTGGTGGCCACATCCCCCATCCGCTAGCCACAAATCGTAGCTCAGGGCAAGCTGCCTGGGGCTGGTGCTGGAGTGCGCACCCGTGACACTGCGGGGCGTCGTGCCTCCACCCTGCGCTAAGCGCTGCGGGCAGCGCACCGGGCCCAGTGCCAGTCTGCCACACTCAGCGGTTGTTCAGCGTTGCCGGGACGTCCCTGGGGGGCAGGGCTTGTGCTGGTGCCATGGCGGGCGACCTGGACTCAGCTCCCAGGAGGCTCCTACTGATGTGCATTTCCAAGGGTTTCCCTCATGTCCGAGGGACTGACAACGTGGCAGCCGCACAAAATAAACAAGAGTCCCAATGTTCGCCTGGCATGTGAGTAATTCCCCCACCCCAGCCGAGATGCAGCTACACTCAGCAGCCTGGCTTCAGCCAAACTAGCTCCGCAGCTTCATGGCTAAAGGCACTGTTGTAACAGAGGGTGTTGGGCCAGCTGTTGCCTCAGTTTCCCCTCGTGGGGAAACTCTTGTAAGTCACGTCAGTCTTCTCTGACTTCCCAGCATCTCAGCCCCTGCTGCCTGGTATTCCCTCCTGCCTGTACCTCTGCAAGTTGAAGAGGAGTGTGTGTTTTGGGGGGCACTCTGCCAGTTTTGGGGAGAGGCTATTTTCAGCATATTTATACATTTTTTTCATGTACTACTTATTTAATGTGTCTAATCACTGGTATCTTTATTATTTCAATAATTATTCAATTATGAACCACATAATTACATAATCATGAGTTGCAGTATTTTAAAATCATTGCAAACACCTACAAGCTGTCTTCACTAATGTGCCAAATGAAAGACTTTCTGGCTACGTCTACACTGGCACCCTTTTCTGGAAATGCTTAAAACGGAACAGTTTGCCGTTATAAGTATTTCTGGAAAAAGCTCTTCTACATTGGCAGGATGCTTTTCCGGAAAAGCACTTTTTCCGGAAAAGCGTCCATGCCAATGTAGACGCGCTTTTCCGCAAAAAAGCCCCGATCGTCATTTTCGCGATCGGGGCTTTTTGCGGAAAAGAAATCTGTGCTGTCTACACTGGCCCTTTTCCGGAACAGTTTTCTGGAAAAAGGACTTTTGCCTGAACGGGAGCAGCATAGTTTTTCCGGAAAAGCACTGATGATTTTACAGTAGATCGTCAGTGCTTTTCCGGAAATTCAAGGGGCCAGTGTAGACAGCTGGCAAGTTATTCCGGAAAAGCGGCTGATTTTCCGGAATAAGTGGCCAGTGTAGACACAGCCTCTGTGTCTCTGTAGTTTTCTGGATAAACACTAACAACAGTCTCACTGGCATCTCAGTGCGCGGCTTTGTCCTGATGCCCCCATAGCACGTCTGCGCTCTTCAGTGGCGGAGGACTGGGGATCATTTTAAAGTCTTCTGAAGCTGGGGAATGAGCCGAGGCTGAAGCAGGCACAGTGAGGAGTCTTGTGAATCAGCAGCGCTACTCCAGGAGTTCTTCCTTGCTGGATAACAACTAGGGGTGTGAAGGTTTAACAGGGTAAGGTTAACAGGTGGGGCTGCTCCAGGGCAGCTTCAGCCTGCAGTGGGCTGGGGCGCCCGGCAGGCAGGGCCTGCTCACCCCCGTTAATCGGTTAATCGGTTACTATGCTTAACTGGTTAGCCACTCAAAGGGGGTTTTATAACCCTTGGAACAGCTGGGTTAGGTTCTGTCCTTCTGTCTGTGTCTTTGGGGTTGTACTTGGCCATGTGCTTTACTTTGTATTTTACACTGAATTTCAGCAGCCATTTCGTTGCCCAGTCACCCAGTTTTGAGAGATCTTGGGACTGCAGGGAGCGAGGTCCGAGGTGGATGGAGGAACTGGCCTGGGAAGGGAAAAGAGTGGACAGGTGGGGCAGATGTAGGCAGGGACGGGTGAGAAAAAGGAGCTGGGGGGGTTGGCACATGACCACTTGGGAGCAGAACTGGCTGGTGGGTAGAACTGGCTGGGGCTGGCTGGGGGGCAGAAGACGCCGAGCTGGGCACAGGACCACTGGGGGGCAGAGCTGTCTGGGGCTGACTGGCATTCTCCCCCACCCCACCCGAGACCCCTCATAGTCCCCCCTTCCGATAGTCTGGCATATCTGATAATATGGTACTCCCTGGGTCCTAAATGTGTCGAATTATCAGAAGTTTACTTTAGTTGGGGGAACTACTTCATGGGGAGACCTGAATAAAGCAAGCAATTTGTAGGCCCCTTATTCAACAACATACTTGAACATACTCATAATTTTAAACACTGACAATGATAGCATTACACTAATGCTTAAATTTAAGTATGTACGTGATTACCTTGCTGAAACAAGGCCTTAAAGCTCATCTTTCCTTAATAAGGTCCTAACTAGGTCACCTTTTTCACATAGTAAATAGGACCTTACTGCAAAATCATTTGAGTTTATTTTAATGGGACTACTCACAGAGCAAGATATTAATCACTGTATAATGTTAGAGTCAGAACCAATAAGAGTCATTTCATTTTAAAACTCTAAACTTAAGAAGCCTCAAATAAGCTTTTGAAAGTCTAGTGAAGCCTATGTTTAGATGACCAACTTGGATGAGTGCACTAAGCAAACTTCTGGTCTATTTTTGGCAAAGTAGCAATCACAGTGGTGATATAGGAAAAAATACCTACATTTCAAGAAAAAAAAATCCAACATTTCTACTTAAAAGGGAACAGGTTACTTTTCTTGGGGGACAGAGGGTGTTTGAGGCGATGTTCATACTGACTTAACCTCCAGGGCCTGTGTCCCTCCAGCCCTGGCCTCAGAGAGAGACGTAGCTTGGAGTGGAATTTTTCTGAGTCAAGTGTCTCTAAACCACTGGGTGCAAATTAACCCTACTCCTGCCTTGGAGGGGTGTCACCCAGCCCATCGCATCCCGTGGGTCAAGGGAACAGGCTTGGCTGCATAGCAAAATCAGAGGGGAGCTTAACCTCCAGGGCCTGTGTCCCTCCAGCCCTGGCCTCAGAGAGAGACGTAGCTTGGAGTGGAATTTTTCTGAGTCAAGTGTCTCTAAACCACTGGGTGCAAATTAACCCTACTCCTGCCTTGGAGGGGTGTCACCCAGCCCATCGCATCCCGTGGGTCAAGGGAACAGGCTTGGCTGCATAGCAAAATCAGAGGGGAGAGCCTGGGTGTTGGGGGTCCACGGAGGTAGCCCTACTCTCTGCCAAGATGCTGTTTGAAGTGTCTGTATTTCCTGGCCCGAGCCCAGAGCATGGCCCTGCCCAAGGATTAGACTTTTAATCAGCTCCCATAGAGCTGGGAAATCACTCCCATAGAAATAACAAGCACAGGCACCTCCTCGGGGCACCTCCACAATACGCCAGCCTGGGGGGCTGCAGAAAGCTGGGGTGGGAGCTGGGGAACAAACACAGCCTCATGTTGGCTCACAGACAAACTTGTCACCTTGGTGGTGCCCAGATTAAATTAACGTGAGCGTGTGCATGTGTGTATATGTGCATGTTTGTGTGTGTGTATGTGTGTGCATATGCACGTGCGTGTGTGTGTGTGTGTGTATGTTTGTGTGGACATGCATGTGCATGAGCGCTGTGTGTGTGCGCCAGGGACAGGTGGCTCCATCCAATCCCCTTCTTGTCTCCATTCCAGCCTTTCAAACCTTGATTGAGTTTTGCTGCCTAATCCTCTTGTGTCTCGCTCTGCGCTGCAATCCAGCACCTCACTAACCAAGGCATGTGGCCAGCGCCAGCTTTGCCCAGCTGCAGTCACAGAGGCTGGGCATCTTGTCTCACATAGCCCAGGGGTGGGGATCCCCGGCTGCTCCGGTTGTGTGGCAGGGCTGGGGCCAGGGACAGGCAGGCCAACGCCTTTGCAGGAGCATCTTTCAAAAAGGGAAGACGGAGAAGCCAGGGAACTTCAGACTGGTCAGCCTCAGTCCCCAGAAAAATCATGGAGGACTCCATGGAATCCATTTTGAAGCATTTGGAAGAGGGGAATGTGATCAGGAACAATCAACATGGATTCACCAAGGGCAAGTCCTGCCTCACTGATGTGATTAGCTTCTGTGATGAGGAAACTGGCTCTGTGGATATGGGAAAGTCAGTGGCCGTGATCTACCTTGACTTTAGCAAAGTTTCTGATACAGTCTCCCACAATATTCTTGCCAGCAAGTTAAGGAAGTATGGACTGGATAAATGGACTGTAGGGTGGCTGGAAAGCAGGCTAGACTGTCGGGCCTAATGGATAGTGATCAACAGCTCGATGTCAGGTTGGAAGTTGGTTTCTAGCGGAGCCCCAAGGATCAGTTCTAGCGCCGGTTTTGTTCAACATCTTTATTAATGACCTGGCTGAGGGGATGGATTGCACCCTCAGCAAGTTTGCAGATGACACTAAGCTAGGGGGGGAGGTAGATAGATTGGGAGGGTAGGGATAGGGGTTCAGAGTAACATAGACAGATTAGAGGATTGAGCCAAAAGAAATCTGATGAGATTCAACAAGGACAAGTATAGAGTCCTGCACTAGGGATGGAAGAACCCCAAGCATTGTTACCGGCTGGGAACAGCCTGGCTAAGCAGCAGTTCTGCAGAAAAGGACCTGGGGATTACAGTGGTTTTGAAGCTGGATATGAGCCAACAGGGCGCCCTTGTAGCCAAGAAAGCAAATGGCATATTAGGGAGTGTTGGGAGGAGCATTGCCAGCAGATCCAGAGAAGTGATTATTCCCCTTTATTCAGCACTG